CAAGAAACAAAGTACAGACAGTGTAAGAAAGTTGCAAGTACACAATCATTTTATAACTTGTATATACATCAAAACACGGGAAGAAGGGAACTAAAATATGGAAATGGTCAGTTAGAGAAGGGGAATGGAATGGATGGGAGCAAGAGAAGACCAGGGCTTCCTTTCTTTCTTTTCTTCAGTGCTGGGAATTGAACCCATGGCCTTACACATGCTAGACAAGTGCTCTGTCACTGAGCTACACTTCCAGCACTGCTAATGTATCTGTTGTTTTATTTTTACCTTTGAGCAATGAATACTTTAAAAATAAGTAAAATCTAAAACATTATATTGTACATCTTAAATTTATACAATAATAAGTAGAGATAAAAAAATCTTTTCTTCTAATATGCTTCACTGTCATGCAAAAACTAGGAAAATCTTATGCTCAAGTGGGTTTGAAAACATTATTAAATAAATACCAAAGCTATTGTCAATTGAATAGATATCTTTGTAATGTTTAAAAATTATCTGACTCTGATCTCATCTCTTTCTATGGTAACTTTAATCATTATAGTTCAATTCAGGTCTAAAAACACATACAGCTTAATGTTTTTTCCTAGCTCTCAGACTTTGTGGGTCTCTTTTTCTTAAACTTCTGCTTGCATTGGCTCAACACATAAGAGCTTCAGTTTCTAGTTTGTTTGAGTTTAGGTTAGTTTGATGTAGATCAGCCAATTCTCCCAGTCTTTGCTCCTATTCCTCCCCTTAGAGTCTAGTGACAACGCTTCCCATGCCATACCTATACTTCAGTTTAGCTATTGTCTTTTCTCTAAGAAGGATTAGGTCCAGCAAGTATGGAACTCAGCCAAACTGAGTCTCAGAGGGACTCTTCCCTGTGTTCTTCCTCTCAGCCCAAGACTAACTGATGTTCAACCCCAAAGAGCAACTTCTCCTTAAGTCTGGCATTCAAAGCAGTTTAGCTCATAAGGCATTGTTTAAACATCAAGGAGAGTGGTGGTGAACCGATGGCACACATGTTATTTATTTTTCTTTGAAGACAAAAGATGGTAATCTTTTGACTCGATTTTTCTAAACTAAAACCTCAGTATTCAGGTTTAATTGCAATGTGCAACATTGCAATAAATAAGTGGGTTTTGGGGGCACTCATCTCTAAAAGATTCACCATTGCTGATCTAGCATGTAACAGCCACTGTGACTAGTACTGGAAATGCAGAGAGGAAAATATTCCTGCCCTAGGGATTCAGAGACTAGCAGAGGAAGTAGACAAGAAAGCAAAGTTATGATGTAGTGGATCAAATATTGAAGTTAGAAGAACTTGTCATGGATCAGGTTAAGATGGTGGGATTGAGAAGGATGAGTAGGAGAACCTTCTCAAGAGAACTGAGTCTTGACTATGAATAAGAGGTAGTCTTTAGGCAAGGGACACAGATGGGAAAATGTGAGCAACAGTCCATAATTCTAAATAATGTTCTGGGTATGTAGAACCACATATATTATCAGAAGGGGATAAAGTACAAAGCAGAGAAAAGCAATATAAAAAGATAGGGAGCCTTCCTTTATCTTATTATGCCCTTGGAGCACCCATCATTTTCTAACCCAGAAGCTAGGGAAGGGAGTCCCAGTATAATTTTAAGTCCATAGGGAAAGAGACAAGGTCTGTGTTAGTTGGGATACATGCATTTCCCTTGGGTGCCATGCAGGAGGAAGGTGAATGGTGGTCATAACCTTTCATAACTGGCCAAATGTTATGCTTTCCATTGTTTATACTCTTTTTTGCAGCTGCCTGGCTTAAGGCTGTTGACAGGAAGATGCAGAAATTTTCCTGGTTACCCTTTGTTGAATCAAGGGCAAGCCTCTTTTTCAGATCTATCAGGCAAGAAGAGTCTGGGAAATTTTTGTAGAATTGCAAATCTCTTTGGAATTATTTTTTTTCCCTTTCTCTCTCTCATTACTGTTATCGTCTCACCATCTGGGTAATCTTTCTCCGCTGCTGAAAGGGAAGTTCCTGATGCTGGATCAGTTTTCATTTGGGTGCATCTCTACTGAAAGCCAGTTATGGTAGACCATACCTTTCAATAGAAAGATTGATTAGAAACCAGTGACTTCAGACTGCTTCCTTGCTCTCAGGCAATGCCCGGAAGGGTGGGGTCTAAAGGAAGAAAACTGAGACTTTGTACTTAAAATTCATTGCCAAAAAAAGTGAAGAGATAGCCTCAAATGGAACATTTTTTCAACCACTAGAGATGGCAAGAGCTGTGGTAAGTGTGGTAAGTCCTTTGAAAGGTAGGAGATCAATAGTGTAGCCCTCTATATTCACCCCGACCTTCCAGCCTGTGATATTCCCATAGTGACATATCTTGGAGTATTGTGAGCTAATTGTCTATTGCTTGAATTGTACCTGCTGGAGCCCAAGACAGTGATCACATTTCAGGAGACGAGGAAGGGACTGTGGTCCCTGATGGTTGATTGGCTCCTGGGCACAAGGAGGAGCGGGTGACACATCTCCTTTTAGGTTGTCATTTTTGTATATTTGTTTTGGGGTGTTTTTTTGAGATAGGATTTCCTTAGGTAGCTAGACTGGCTTTGATCTTATTATGTAGCCCAGGCTGGCCTTGGACTTGAGGTGAGCCTTCTGCCTCAATTTCCAAAGTACTGGGATTACAGGCGTATGCCATCATGCCTCGTCATGATACAGCTCTTTGAGGATCAGAAAACCTCTTTGTTAAGTAGGCAGAAGATCGGCCTCTGAGGAAATATACCAGGGAGGACTGCCCAGTAAAAGAAGAAGATTATTCAATTTCTCCCCGATTCTCCAAGTGCTATGCCCATCCTTTGGAACTCCAAGGATGCTGGGCCCTTGTCAGCTTCACAGGACAGAGTGCAGGAAGGAATGTGGGAGCTGGACAGGACATCGAATCCTAAACAGGGAAAAAGAATTCAGGTGCCCCTGTCTTCATAGAGACATCAAGGGCATTCAGGTCAGAGGAATTTCCTTCCATATTTAAATTGAGAGCCAATTTTCCTGTCATTTAAGATACAGTTTAGGTCTAGTCCAGTGGACTTTTTTCACAAGGAGCACTGGAGGGCCAGGAACAGTTCCCTTTGAAGTGAGCGTGGCTCTCTTTACAGTCCACCCCTTATGTTCTGGGCTTTCGCCCAGAGGAACTGTGTCCATGCTGTTCATTTCTGTTTAAAACCATCCTTCTCGCCGGTCAAATCCACACACATTTTCAGCATTTATTTTAGGCATAATCTTTCTCTCTAAGTCTCACTGTGGTTCCCTTTCCATGTCCCTCTTATAGCTCTATATGCACCTGTATCATTCCACCAATCTCACATCTTAATTGTTTTGCCATCTCATTAGGCAGTGAGCTACATGACAGTAGAAACAATGTCTCCTTCATCTCTAAATGACCAGGAGTACAATTTAGTACATAAAAAAATCAGAGTAAAAGTTCAATGGCAAATAAGTCAATTTCTATAGAACCTGGAGAGAGGGGAAGTCATAAACAAATCTCTAGGGAGAAAGCCCACAGAACTGCTTAATCCTAGGTAGAAGGTACAAAAATATCCTTGTCTACATAGCTGGGACAAACAGGTGAGAAATTTTAAGTCAAGAGACTAGTATTTGTTTTGTTGTTTTGTTTTTTGGAGCCAGAGATCAAAGTTGGGATCTTGTGCTTGCGAGGCAGGTGGTGAAACCACTGAGCTAAATCCCTGGCCCCTGAGAGACTAGTATTTGTTGAGAACAAAAACTGTGGGTATGTTAGAGAAAATAGAGCTGGCAGAGAACTGAGGGTCTTAAAATTAATTCTTCACTTTGTGTGGTTATGAGGAATCAGCATTCTCCTGATAACTGAGGCTTCTTAAAAACAATGTTTCAGAATATAATTGATGTGACTTTTATAACTTATGGTGGTCTTCAGAACTGGAAGAACTTGAGTCAAAGTTAATTTCTGATGTCATTAATATTTACAGCCAGAAATTCACAATTCTGTCCCTGACAAATAATTTAGTAAAGCCCAAGTTTGCAAGAAGGTGTTGACCTGGTAGTTCAATAGGGAAAACATCATGGACTGAAAAAGCTTAAGGAAGTCATCTTAATATCCTCCTTAGTAGTTAACCTGAAGGTGATTCTGAATTAGTGCCTTGGATAACTGTACTAATGATAGATTAGAGCGGTGGGTTGAATGACTCAATATAGTTTATTCCTTTCTTGCTTTTTTGCATGGCACAACTTGGTATAGAAATGCAAGCATTTTGTAGAGATCTGAGTTCTAGACCCTTGGGTTGTTCTGCAAATTCTCTATGAAAAGGGTAATTTCATATAATAGCTGTGTGAATGGCCATTGTATAGGCAGAAAGCTGAAGTTCAAAGGTGGGCTAGACTCCTTCATAGTTTCCCAAGGGTAGTGGCAGGCGAAGCCGAGATTCCGGTGTACTAACTGGCAGGCCAAGGCTCTTTCTACTACATCATTTATCAGTTTAGGGTTAGAAAGTGTTTTAAACCCTTTGCATTATTATTTAATTTGCTCCTTACAGAATTTTATAATTGAGGAGCAGAGAGAGCTACTCGATCAGTAAGTGGACTTAAAGGAATTCAAAGATAGGCAATCTGGCTCCAGTTCTGATTCTGGTTAAATGGGAGTCATATTCTTCACAAAAATCATTTTTCTGGTATTTTTTACCAAATTATATGTTCATTGATGTTGCTATTATAATAATGAGAAACCGTCATTTGAGATCTGAGAATAGGGCATATGAAGATAGAGGTTCCTGGCATTTTATTCCTAAGCTTTAGCTGGCCTTTATAGACAATCTTCTCCAGCTCTACAGTCAATCAGGTGATAATCTCAGGTGCTCTGTATATTAACAGGATCTGTGATTGGAGCAAGTGGAGATATGTGTGTCACACCACGGGAAAATAAGTTTCAGGACTGTTAAAAACAGGACTCCTCTCACCAGGATCATGTTCATACTGTTGCCTGGGTAAAAAGACAATGGCTCCTGCTGGGAACCAGAGTGGTGGGATGACCGAGTTTCTCCTGGCAGGCTTCCCAGATCTCAATAGCACAAGAATGGAACTGTTTTCTGTGTTCCTTCTTGTCTATCTGCTGACTCTGACAGGCAATGTGTTGATTGTGGGAGCGGTAGGAGCTGATACTCGCCTACAAACCCCCATGTACTTCTTTCTGGGTAACCTGTCCTGCCTGGAGATTCTGATCACTTCAGTCATCATTCCTAAGATGCTGAGCAATTTCCTCTCAAGGCAACACACTATTTCCTTTGCCGGATGTATTACTCAATTTTATTTTTATTTCTTCCTTGGGGCTTCAGAGTTCCTCCTGTTGGCTGTCATGTCTGTGGATCGCTACCTAGCCATCTGTCATCCTCTGCGTTATCCCTTGCTCATGAGTGGAGCTGTGTGCTTTCGCATGGCCCTGGCTTGCTGGATGGGGGGACTCTTCCCTGTTCTTGGTCCCACAGTGGCAGTGGCCCTGCTTCCTTTCTGTAAACAGGGTGCTGTAGTGCAGCACTTTTTCTGTGACAGTGGCCCGCTGCTCCACCTGGCATGCACCAACACCAAGAAGCTGGAGGAGACCGACTTTGTCCTGGCCTCTCTTGTCATTGTATCGTCACTGATGATCAGTGCTGCATCCTATGGACACATAATCCTGGCTGTCCTACGAATTCCCTCTGCTTCAGGCCGCCAGAAGGCCTTCTCCACCTGTACCTCCCACTTGATGGTGGTGACCCTCTTCTATGGAAGTGCCATTTTTCTCTATGTGCGACCTTCACAGAGTGGCTCTGTGGACACTAACTGGGCAGTGACAATGATAACAACGTTTGTAACACCACTGCTGAACCCATTCATCTATGCCCTGCACAATGAGCAAGTCCAGGAGGCTTTGAAGGACATGTTCAGGAAAGTTGTAGCAGGCTTTTTATGGAGTCTTTTACCTGCTGAAAACAGAATAAGCAGTATAGCAAAACAGAAAGCAGTATAGCGAAAGTGAAGGAACTCAATGACTAATCTTAAGTCCATATAGTTTCCTTGTCATTTTTCCCATCACCATCATCATGGACTTCACCAAAGGACTGAATTCTGGAGCCACTAATGAACTTCAAAGGTATCAGGTCTACCTTCCTTCTGTTTAAGGCAAAATTCAATGATTCTATATGATAGCTAGTAAGAACCAATAGTATTTTTATATATCATGATCATCATTTCATAAGACCTTCTAACCTATAAGTGTTTATAGCTACCTAGAAAAGCTAGGGATGTTTCAGAAAATTTATAAGCCCCATTGGTATCTAAATTGTATATTTGAACACATATACATTTCATCTGGAAGGGAATCCACGGCTCTAGTCTAGCATGTAGAGATAACTATGTGCATCCTCTCTCTTGATTACAAGTCCCAATAGAGCCTTCTAATTATTTTATGCAAGTCAAGAATTTTAAGACAAATGCGATTATAATAAAAAGGAATAAAAATAAATAGTCTTGTTTGAAATAGTGCATTCTTAGAATATTCTTGTCTTTTTTCTTCCCTGGGATCACACATGTTTGATTTTCTCTCATTTCCAGTTGCTTTCTTTTTGTTTTGTCTTTGTTTCCATTTGCAAGTATATCCTCCTCAATAAAGTTATTAAATAATAGAGCTTCTTAAGATATAACACTAGAGGCTCTGTTATGGTTGTGTCTAGATGTCCCCACAAAGTCTCATGTGGTCAAAGGCTTTTTCAGAGGTGGCTGAATCTAGAGTGTATGATGCTGGAATTAAAGGTGTATGATTACTAAACTACTACACTGATTGGTTTGGCACTACCCTAATCCCGGTAGTCTGGATAAGATAAAAGGGGCAGAAAGACACTGTTAAGATCCTGTGGGGTACCACTTCTGATTATATTCAAAGCCCGGGCACCTGAGGAAACTTAAGGTCACAACCCTGCTGTCAGGGGCATTTGCCTAACAGGCCCCAGTTATATAGAGTGGCTTAACATACTCAATCACACATGTGCAATATGGTTTTGCAAGGACACGCAGCTGGTGTTTCATGATGCTGTCTTGTTATGTCTGAGAATGGGTGTATGAAGATGGAAGAAATAAAAGCAAGCAGCTCTTGAGCTCTGGGGCTCTAGCTCTCCTGCTCTGCTGCTGCTCTTTGGCTGATGATTGGGTTCACATCCTGTTCTTTATTGGAGAACTCACTCACAATGGACTAAACGTGCGAACCCCTATCTGGGTGCCCCTGGAGGCTTGGCCCTGACAGGTCCCTTTGTTGCTTTTCTGTCTTCTGCTGCCATGAACTGTTGCCCCTCTGCCATGTGCCACCCTACCTTGGACCCCACTAATTATGGACTGAAATCTCCACAAACTTTGAGCTAAATAAACCTTTCCCCCTTTAGCTTCGGGTGTTGAATATCTTGGCTCAGCAGCGATAAAAGTAACTAAGACAGGCTCCTTTCTTTCTTCTGTCTTTACACTCTCTAAGAAATTTCATTCAAACTATAGATTTTTTATTGTTTTGTTTCTGTTTTTTGAGACAGGGTCTTGCTATGTAGCCCAGGTTGGCCTCAAATTCTTAATCTTCCTCCCTTGCCCTTGCAAGTAATAGAATTATAGGTATGAGCCACCATGCTCCCCTACTACCACAGTTTTAATAACTAAATACTGACCACTGTCATATTTATATCTCCAGGCCTAATCTCTGAGCTCCAAATGTATAGAAGTGATTGCTTAAATAATAACTCCACAGAGATGTCTAACACTCAGCATGTGCCTGACTGAAGTTATCATTTCCTTGCCCCCTCTCTCCAGCCTTGGTCATCTTTCCTTGTTCTTTATCTCAGCAAATGCAATGGATCATTATTGGTTACATAAATCAGAAAACTAAGAATCAGACCAGTTCATTCTTACATTTTCTAGAATATTCTTTTCTGTATTGATCTAGATTTTTCTATATGGATCTGTATGGAGAAATCTGCAATGATATTTGGAAGGTGTAGGTGATTTAGAGGGAATATAACAATATGATGATCTCACTGGTTGGCACGGACTGAAGCTGGACCTAAAACTCTTTTGTCTCCTCAACTCTTGGGGCAGGTGCACAGGTAGTTCCATGATAAAGGGTGCCACTTTTTCTTGCTGGTCACCCACATTCACAAAGTTGGAGACAGTGAAAGAGAGGTGGAGATTCCAATTTGCCTTTTCCATTTCTGTTCATGCTTGTAAATTTTGTGGCTTCAGTTCATGTCCAGATTCCCTTCTAATTGCTGACCCTGCTGAGCTAGGGATTAGTGGGATTAACAGCACTTACAGAAGCAAGAATCTTACATAGACTTCCTTTCCAGCTACCACAGTTATGTAAGGGCTAATACCTACAATAAATCTATTCTTTATCACAATAGTGGTTCCACAACTTTGATCAAGCCCTACCTCATACTTGCTCTTAGAAAAATATCAGCTGCACCATTTTTTCTGTTTGGTCATTAGATTGTAAATCCCTTGAAGACAGCAATATGATCAAACTTGAGTTTGTTTTTCTGTCACCTAGAAGAGTGCCTGATGATTTGGAACATAACAAAATCGCTGTTGCTCTGGAAGGAACAGTGACTTAAGGGATATGAAAGAGTGTCAAAGAGCAATGCTCACTGAGAAAAGTAACTAAGACACACTTATGACAAACTCACTGCCAACATCATGCTATGGGGAAAAAACTGAAAGCGTTTCCTTTAAAATCAGGAACAAGACAAGAGAGTCCACTCTCACCACACCTGTTCAATGTAGTACTTGAAGCTCTAGCCAGAGCAATCAGGCAAGAAAAAGAAATAAAAGAGATTTGAATAGGAAAGGCAGTCAGACTATGCTTATTTGTAGATGACATGATCCTTTACACAGAAGACCCAAACAATTGTCAAAAAAGACTCTTAGAACTAATAAATTCAGCAAAGAAGCAGAATACAAAATCAATACACAAAAATCAACAGTATTCCTGCATACCAACAGTGAACCCACGGAGAAAGAAATCAGGAAAACAATCCCATTCACAATAGCTTCAAGAAAATTTAAATATCTAGGAATTAACCTAATAAAGTAAGTTAAAGACTATAGTACTCTGAAAATAAGAGATTGAAAAGGAAATCAGAAAATGGAAAGCCATCCTGTTGCTGGACATGCAGAACAATACTGTCAAAATGGACATATTATCAAAACTAATATATAGATTTGATGCAATCCCAATTCAAATACCAATAGCATTCTTGGCAAAATTAGAAAAACCAATCCTAAAATTTGTATGGAACCAGAAGAGACCCAGAATAGCAAAGCAATCCTGAGCAATAAGAACAAAGTAGGAGGCATCACAATCTTGGACTTCAAGTTATATTACAAAGCTACAGTGATAAAAACAGCATGGCACTGGAACAAAAACAGATGTGTGGAAAAGGAGGAAAAAAATGGAAACAAAGTTTTCGTAAATAGCGAGGGTTGGAGGGGTAGAAGGGAATGCAGGGGAATGGGGAAAAAAAGAAGAACCAAGATATATCACGTACAGGTACAAATTCCCAATGATGAATGTGATCATTATGTATACCTAAAATGTACCAATAAACTTAATGGAAAAAAAAAAAGAGAGATGTATAGATCAATGGAACAGAATAGAGGATGCACAAACAACCCAGGCACACTCAGCCATTAATCTTTGTCAGAGGGGCCAAAAATATGCACTGATAGCCTCTTTAGCAAATGGCACTGAGAAAACTGGTTGTCCGCATGGCAATAATGAATCTAGATCCATATCTCTCATCCTGTTCTAAAACCAAATCAAAATGCATCAAAGATCTAAATAGTAAAAACAATCTTCTGGAAGATAAAATAGATAAAATTCTTAAAGACAAAGGCAGAGACAAGGACTTTCTGACAACTGGGTACCCCAGTTGTACAAGAAATAACATTAACAATCAACAAATCAGATCATATCAAATTTAAAAACTTCTGCACAGCAAAGGAAACAACTATGAGTGAAGAGACAACCTACAGAATGGAAAAAAATTTCCAGCTGCTTTTCAGAGGACTATATCTAGAAGACATAAAGAACTCAAAAAATCAGACCCCCCCCTAAATAAAAGATCCAATCAAAAATGGGCAACTGAAACGAATAGATGCTTCTCAGAAGTAAAACTGACACATATTACATGAAAAAAATGTTCAACATCTCTGGCCATCAGAGAAATGCAAATTAAACCAACACTGAGGTTCCATCTTACTCCAGAAAGAATGGCTATCATCAAGAAATCAAATAATAACAAATACTGGTGAAGCTGTGGGGAAAAGGAGCCCTTCTACATTGCTGGTGGGAATGTAAACTAGTACAGCCATTATGGAAATCAGTACGGAGATTCTTCAAAACACTAAAAATAGAAATTCCATTCAAACTAGCTATTCTCTTACTAGGTATCTTCCTGAAAGAGTTAAAGACATTGTATATACAGTGATACAGAACATCCATGTTTATAGCAGAACAATTTGTAATCTAAATTATGGAAGAGGCCTATATGCTTATCAACAAATGAATGGATATATATGTTGAGATATAGATATATAATATATTAGATATATGAAGAAAATGTGGTATATATACTCAATGGAGTACCACTTGGGCATAAAGAAGGATAAATTTGAGTCATTTGTAGGAAAATAGATGCACCTTGAGTTCAAACGCTAAGTGAAATGAATCAGACACAGAAGGTTAAGTATCACATGATTTCTCTTATATGAGAAACCCAAGGGCTGGCATTTAGCTCAGTGGTTCCGTCGCCTGCCCTGCAAGCCCAAGGACCCAAGTTAAGTCTCTGGTACCAAAAAAAAAATAAAAAGAGAAACCCAAAGTATAAACAATTTAAAGAACAAAATGCAAGATGATAGGAAACCAGGAGATTGACTTTGTGGTTGTGTGAAAGGGACCTAAGGATGGGGAAGATGAGAAACGTGCCTGGGTATGGG